ACCACCTCAACTGGCTCCTCTCAATGTGGAGGTGTACCGGCTCTACTCTGAGCTCCTCCCGGATAACCGAGCTCCTCACCCTGTCAGTAGAGTGTAGCCCACCACCCTGAGAAGAAAGCTCATTTCCACTGCTTGTATTCGTGATCTCATTCTTTCGGTCATTACCCAAAGCTCATGACCACAGGTGAGGGTTGGGATGTAGACCGACCGGTAAACAGAGAGCTTTGCCTCATGGCTCAGCTCCCTCTTCACCACTACCGTCCGGTAAAGTGACCGCATTACTGATGCTGCCTGTCCCAGTCTGCGGCCGATCTCACCATCCCTCTTCCCATCACTTGTGAACAAGATCCTGAGATACTAAACTCCTCCAGCTGGGGCAGCTCCTCTCCCCACGCACAAATATGACGGCGTTAAATAGCCCCTCGTTAGTGGTGCAGACGCTGGCATTCATTTTTTAAAAACATCAGTTGCAACATCAGTTATTTGCCAGCTTTAGAAGGAAACATTATATTGTCCAAAAGTTTGTGGACACCCACTCATTCATCTCGTCTGGGATGAAGGGTATTAATAGGGAGTTTGTCCCCCTTTGCAGCAGTAACAGCCTCTACTCTTCTGGGAAGGCACTAGATGTGGGAACATTGCTGTGAGGATTTGATTGAGCATTAGTGACGTCAGGTCAGTTCTGTAAGTCATCCCAAAGGTGTTGGATGGAGTTTTGATCTCCATTATGACTTTTATGATTCTAATAGTCACTATTTATTGACAATGCAGATGTTCTTTGCTCTCCATACAGGTGTTAAACTGCAGGTTCTCTATTTCAGGCCTACCGAATCTTGAAAACCACTGCAGTACAGTTCATTTTAGCTCAGTTGAAACTAGCTTTCATATATGCTGTATTAGCAGCAAATTGACCCACAGCCAGCCGTGTCCTCCTCTCCTCTCTTCCACAGCTCCCTTTGGCATGCATAATCATCCGATTTGACCGAACATGTGGAGGTCAGTGTGAGCGTTTCTGTGAGGCGACACATGCAGGGACGTTGTGTTTAATAAGTAAATGATGGACGGAGCTGCCAAGGCGCACAGTCGGAGGTTTGTTTGAGGACTGTGCCAGTTTGGTGTTCATGAGCAAAACCACGAGGAGAGCGAGAGAGGGCAGTGGATTTGAAGGAGTTCCAAGCACGACGGGAACACCACAAAAACCCTCTGCCCCACGTCCACTCGTCCTTCACTGACGAGACTCTCCCTCCACAGTGGGACGAACGAAAGAACATGCAAGAGCTTAAAATACCGTTCGCATATTCACACTATGATTCACAGGCTCACAATAAGACAAAACCAGCCGCAGATTAATGTATGAAATGATTCTGATCTGCTCGTCCTGAACAACTTCACAGCTTGCTGCGTCCAGAACGATGAGCAGAGCTGTAGAAGATTCTAAAATGACCAAGAAAGCTGTAGAACATCAGCAATGAAGTTCTTATAATATTAACATCCAGAATGAAATTCAAATGAAATTAACATCCAGCATGAAGTTCTAATACAATTAATATTCAGAATGACGTTCTAATAATATGAATATCTAAAATGAAGTTGTAATAAATTTATATTTGTAATGAAGTTCTAAAAAAATGATAATCCAGAATGAAATTCCAATACAGTTAATATTCAGAATGATGTTCTAATAAATTAATATCCAGAATTTAGTTTTAATAAATTGATATTTAGAATGACATTCTAATAAAATAAATATCCAGAATAAGTTCTAATAAACTTAATATCTGGAATTATGTTCTAATTAATTAATATTCAGATTTAAGTTTTAATAAATTAATATTTAGAATGACATTCTAAAAAAATTAATGTCAGAGTAAGTTGTAAAAAAATTAATATCCAGAATAAAGTTTTAATAAATTGATATTTAGACTGACATTCTAAAAGAATTAATGTCTAGAACAAGCTTTAATAAAATGAATGTAAAGAATGATGTTCTAATAAATTAATATCCAGAATTTAGTTTTAATAAATTGATATTTAGAATGACATTCTAATAAAATAAATATCCAGAATAAGTTCTAATAAACTTAATATCTGGAATGATGTTCTAATTAATTAATATTCAGATTTAAGTTTTAATAAATTGATATTTAGACTGACATTCTAAAAGAATTAATGTCTAGAACAAGCTTTAATAAAATGAATGTAAAGAATGATGTTCTAATAAATTAATATCCAAAACTAAGTTTTAATAAATTGATATTTAAAATCACAGTCTAATAAATGAATATCTGGAATTAAGTTGTAATACATTAATATTCAGAATGACATTCTAATAAAATTAATATCCTGAAAGTCATTCTAATATAATTGATTTCAAGAATAAAAATCCTAATTAACACCCAAAATAACTAATATCCAGTGATAGAGTTAATAAAATTATCATCCAAAATTAAATTTAAACAAAGTAAGCTGTTGTCCAGAATGTCTCATATTTCAAAAGTAATGATTATATGTTAAAGAAGGCAGCTTGATCAGAAATGACTATAATAGATAACTACAATATATTATTTATCATTTAATAACTTCCCAAAAATAGTGGGAACAATAAAATCTACATTGAATTAGTTATTCTTGAACATAAAATTACAAAAATTGACAGGATGAAAATGAACAGGATGTTGGGTTATCTTTCCTAAATCACAGTATAAGTGTTCTAGTCAGCTCTACAGAAACACTAGCACTGGTCATCACAGTGCTGTAGATCAGACATCTAGTCATCTAGCCGCTGCTCCTCAGAGCTACAGTCCTGCACTGAGTCTGGTCGCTGAGGAGTTCAGTCAGGAGCGTCTGATTGTCAGAGCAGCAGAAAAAGAGGAAAAAACAGAGCGTACAGTGCTCTGACTGACCGTGCCACACTAGAACAGCACATCCTCACAATAGACAGTACATAATATCATGTCAGACTGACTCTTATGACTCAAGATAGAAATGACTCACGGCTGTAAAAAGCCAATCAGCTGAAGGCACTTCATGCCAGTTTAGTGTGGCAGTGAGCCTCTGCGTTTAGTCTGAAACAGCCGTGTTCACGGGCATTAATCTAGCCTGAGTTATGGATTTTGGATGGGCTTCTCCTTTAACCGTAAATAAATCTTGCTTTAAGGCTGCAGTGCCCTACTGCTAGTGTTTATTATGACTTGTAACCGAAAATGATAGCAGCAAACTATTAAATAAATCACGTCTGAATTAACTGCTGATGGACGATAAACTTTTTATAGACATTTTTCATTTTTAATTATACTCATGCAGCCTCTTTGGCGTTTAATGAGCTTCCTATTCAGCGGCAGGATCTCTATCTCTTCATCCCCTCACATGCACCATTATGTATAAATATACATTCATAATTACTCGGCCCGCAGCAGAGAGAGCCCCAGTTTGTTCCCTGGACTGCAACTGTTGGAGATGTTTTTGCTTTTCAGTGGGAATTTTCACATTTCAAACTGATATCGATTTTGGAATCGCACTTGTGATCCTGCATGTTGAGCATAAAAGTGACGGAGCTTCGGTTTCATACAAGAACAATTCAATACATGAAAATATACGTCATTTATATAATATATAATATATTGACAAGTTATATATTGCTGTTGTGGGAAGAAAACCTCATATCTCCAAAATGGTAACTTTACAGGAGAAGGAAAAAACATACTCTACTTTTAATGTAAGTCAATGGAACCAGACTTTTTTCCAAGTCATTTTGGGTAATGAAATTTACACACAATGTAAAGGGTAACAGGTATTTTCAAATTATGTCAAAAACTGAAAAACGTCAAAAATGGAGATACAAGGTTTTCTTCCGACAACAGCGATATTTCGCTTACATTATCTATTTATATATACTAATATATTTCATTATACCTGCAAATCTTCCTTAAAGGGGAATTCCACCAATCTTTGAAGTGTTGATGTAAACAGAGTCATTCAGAGCGGTTTGGTGTGAAACACTTCGTTCTAGATAAACCTACCGAGTCAGAATTGTTCACAGTGGTGGTGATAGGAACCAGACGTCCACCTTTAAAAGCTCCCTCACAGAAAGTTTTTAAATGAAATGAGGCCATTGTTTTACATTTGTATGCAAATTTTGAATAGCCCTGGTGAAATGACATGTTCGTTCATTTATATGTTAAAATAAGTGAAAACAGGGAACACACTTAAATATGGCATTTTTCTGTACATTTTCATGCACAACTATTTGTTTGCTAAATTTAACATATTGAAAAAATCCTAAAAGTTAATAACTTCAGCTTCTTTCTATTTTTTTTATTATTTTTTTTTTTTGCTATTTTTAATGTGTTAAATTCAGGAAATATGCAGTAATCATGCATTAACATGTGCAGTATGTGGAGGCTGTGCTAACGTATTTTCACATGCTGTTTGACCATGGGGGCCCAAAGTTCTGCATATGATAATATCAGTATTAAAAACTCCTGTAGGTTCACTGGTGCTTTTGGATAGTAAATAAAATGGATATATTTGTGTTGTAGACATGGCGACCCCTGGTTCCTATCACCACCACTGTAAAGACATCCGAGTCTCTATAATCAACCGCTTCACATGAAACTACCCTGAATGACCAACTCAAAAGACCTGCCATGAATTTTGAAAATCGGTGGTAGTCCCCTTTCAAAAAAGACCTTAGACCAAAGGGAAATGAACATTGCTCCTTCTGCAGGCATTACTGAGAAGCTCCTCAATTCTAATTCACCTTCGCTACTGTTCATAATCACAATCAATGTCATATTGCAATATAAGTTATATTAATAAGCAATAAGCTCAGAGAACATCCGGACCGCAGAAAACTTCAAATGTGAATATTATGAAAGATTTGTATTTCAAAAGTGGTCAAATCTGGAGGAAAATAACTTAAAAGGTAAGAGATTTTATATAAATATATGGCTATGGCTATGATCTCACAGCTGGGCGAAAACAGTGACCTTTACTCTTACCTGAGCGGAATTTGCTGCGGATGAGCAGCGACCTCTCAGAGGCCAGCAAGGTCATGTTGGACGAGTGGGGGAGGAGGGGGACGAGGGAGGTACTGCTGTGGAGCAGGTATGGGGGACGGTGGCTCTTTCTGGTGTTTCCTTCTGGCCCTGAAAGAGAGAAAAAGAATAGATAAGGGTCAAAGCCTTACAATGTATCCCTCCACCATGAACGGCTTTTAGAAAATACCTTTTAGGCCAAAACCATATCTCAAAACCATCATAAAACAGGCAGCATTCATAACCATTTCATGTAATACTTCCTGTGCTTTTAGAGGTGGACGTCTGGTTCCTATCACCACCACTGTGAACAGGTCTGACTCAGTAAGTTTCTCTAGAACGGAGCGTTTCACACCAAACCACTCTTTGTTTCACACTTTGTTTACATATTAACTACTACGGTATGCAGAAATTTGGAAAAATAAGTGGAATTCCTCTTTTAGCTCAGCTAAAAAGTCCAATTTATGCATCTTACCTCTTACTCCAAATGTAGCTCAACAGCCAAGACATTTTTAGTGTCCTTTAGTTTTGCACTACAGAGCTAAAGTGGCTAACAAGTAATGGAAGCTAATAGCCACCAAGCTAGCGCAGTTATCTAAACTGCGACCTAAAAATGGACAACGGCCTAGAAAATGTGTAGTTATAATCAATATGATTCCTGAATTTTATCTGTATTTGTGTCTATTTTCACCAGAAAACACATAAGCAAGTCTATCAGAATTCACTTAACAACTCCTCACAGTTTTAGGTTGGCTAGCTAGCTACATTAGCCTAATAGCTCCTCTACAAAACTAAAAAAGCAAACTTAAGACTCCAAACATGCCTCAACTGAGTAAGTACATTCGAAGTAAAGGGGGAAAGCTGTTAAAATCTGATTTTTGGCCAAACTTTAACACTCCACCACTGAGAAAGAGAGGCAGAGCAGAGAGAAGGCCAGAAGAAAGTGCCGCGCTAACCGCTGTGGCTAACGCAGACTCAGAGTGACACATTAAAAAAGAGGCGCGTCATTAAACAGGACAGATTCCCTCCTCTACAGCACCCTAATGGAGGGATTTCAGGCTGAGCGGCTGTGGATAAAACAGGCAGATTTCGTAGATGAGAGAAAGCGTTTCGCGCGCAGGCCCGTTGGAGCTACCGGCGGCGCCGTGGAGATAGACAGAATGATTAACTTTATTTACAAACCGCAGCCAAGCGCCGGCTTTCAATTACCGCACTGTACGTCTGCCTGCAATATTGATTAAAACAGCACCGCCCAGGAGACACCTACTCCGAAATTACATTAAATGAAGATCACAAAAAACTTCCTCCTCCGAGTTTGTCAGGCTGGGCCTTTTTTTTCTCATGTACAGCAACTGCTGCCCTGCAAAAGTTTGGAATCTGTGAGTTCAGTGATAAAAAACAATGTCTTTGTCTAAAATGATGCTAATGTGCTTGTCTCGTATGACTTTCACATAATTAGTAGGAAGAGATGTTAGAAGAGTCCAGAATGATGAACAGAGCTGTAGAAGGTTCTCAAATGACTGAGAAAGCTGTAGAACGTGGTGAGTCAAGAATTAAGGTCAAATTCTTATCTAGAATAAAGACCTGGGTCATTCTACAGAAACGTCCACTTTTCTATCTCTCCATAGGAGTCACTGGTGTTACCGATTCACATAAGAAAGGTAATGAAAAATGCATTTTACAAAATTTCTGCTACAGAGCATCAAACCACATGTTGTCCATCATGGAATATCCACTAAAATATGGAATTTAATCCATTTGTGTTCTATTTTTTCACAGTTACCTCAGAATAAAGTAGGTCACCCCAGTGACTTCAGCTAAAAGCTTCATATGAAATCATGAGCTAAATGAGAAAATCTCTGATAACTGAAAGACACAGTGGACTCACCATGAGCTTTTCTTCATAGATCCTCAGAAAACAGGTAAAAGGAAGTCGAGTGATGTCATCAGTGTGATTTTTATTTCAAAATAAGAGATTTTTTGTTACGCAGTAACACCAGTGACACGACTCCTGGGGACAACTTTCAGTATATATTTTATAATATTTATTTGTCTTTTGTTTTCTTTATGTCATTTAATTTATATTTTCCATAGTCATGTATAGATTATTGTAGTTAAAATTGCAGAAAAACATGTTTTTACTTCAAAATATGGCCTCATTCTTCACACATGACTGTGAGGACGAGCTCTTCTGTGGTGCTTGGAATTCTATATAATTGATTTAAAAACCAATATTGCCAAATTGAGGATCAAGAAGGTGTAAACTGTTCAAATAACTTATTGTTTCATTTTAAAATATAAATAAATTGTAACCCTAACATGTTTTTAAGTGTAATATATCTGTAAACGCTAGGGACACAAAAACAGATGTTTCTGTAGAATGACCCACCTACTGATCAAATCTCAAGGCAAATAACTTAATTACTGTACTGATATATTACTGTAAACAGATAATTGTGTTATATTAGTCATCGCTGAATATCTTTAATTCCCTAAAATATCAAAAATGGGTTCTGTTATTGCTCCGATGTCAAGCTTGCAACAATAGAAGAACCCTTTTTGATGATATATAGAACCATATACAACACATTCTCCATCAATCTGAAGAAGCATTTCATCATGCATGCAAAGAACCATTGAAGCATGAAATGGTTCTAAATAGAACCATACCTTTTATTAAAGAACGCTTGATGAACATCTGTTTTAAGAGTGTATGCTGTCGGTCAAAACTTTCTAAAAACTCTTGTAAAACAGTGTCTCAGTCATCAGGCAGTGAATTCATAACCATTTCATGTAGTAACTTTCTGTGAGGGAGCTTTTAGAGGTGGATGTCTGGTTCCTCTCACCACCACTGTGAACAGTTCTGACTCGGTAAGTTTCTCTAGAACGGAGAGTTTCACACCAAACCACTCTGAGCGACTCTGTTAACATCTCAACCATTTAATTATGCAGAAATTTCGAAAAATCAGTGCAGTTCCTCTTTTAAAAAAGAGAAATTGAAGTGAATACTCACAGAAACAGGCTGGGTGCCCTCAGGCCAGCTGAGCAGAGGGGTGGTCAGGCTGTGCCAGAGAGAGAGAGAGAGAGAGAAACCGAAGGACGAGGAGAAGCAGGACAGGAATTCAGCTGCATTTATGGAGATCCCGTGCCAGGCCTGCTTTGCTTTTTTTTTTTCCCTTTTCTTCAGTGCGTTCACGGTTTTCCTGAAAGTGAGTCTTTGGAGACAAGGAGTTGAGAGTTCCTTCTTCTTTTCCTTCTCTCCGAACTCACCCTGTCCTCTCCCTCTCTCTCCCTCTCTCTCTCTCTCTCTCTCTCTACCCCCACTCTCAGGGAGGCTGTGCCAACTGTGTTGGGCTGTCAGACGACCCACCCTGCCCCCCCAACCCCAGGAAACCTTAGGACACACACACACACACACACACACACACACACTCTTCTCTGCTGACTGATTGATGCTGAGAGTTGGTGACTTGCAGGCTTCCATCACTGTGTCTGACTTGTTGAAATCAGTTCCAGAAAGAAAGCTAGCTGCTAGGCTAAGGGTGAGCAAGGAGAACGTTTAAGGCGATTTAAGTGGCTAAAAACAGTTTTCCCCCTTTAACTCCAGTGTACTCGATCAGCCAAGACCTGTCTGAAGTTTGCTTCTTTAGTTTTGCACTGGAGCTATGAGGCTAATGTAGCTAACAAGTAATGGAAGCACGTTAGCGATTAGCATAGCCTGCCTAGATCATCATACAGTTACCTCAAACTGTGTCGAGATGTATGTTTGCTTCCCTGCTAGAAAAGGCAGCATAGACCAGCATGGTCACCAGAAAAACCAGCATGTTGTGTTTTGGAAGCTGGTGCTGATCACCCAGCATGACCATGCTAGGTGACCAGCTAAACCAGAGAACACTGTAATGTCTTCCAGGTTTCTCAAACACTAGAGGGCGCTCCCGAGCAAGTCCAAAATGAATGGGTTAAGATGGAGCATTTGAGCAAAATCATAGTTTATAAATGCTGAAACATTTTTAATGTAAAAGAATACATTAATTTCCTGATCACAGAGCAGCATAAAACACTTTAACACCGCTGTTATATTTTTAAGAGCTTTTAAACTCGAGTTATAGGAGTTTAAAACGGCGCTTCATGTACATTCATGACGTCTGTGAGCGCGAACAGCCAATGAGCTGCTCCGCTCACCAGCCAATCAGCTCTCAGTATCAGTAATGTTAGTGTCCTGCTGCCCCGTTTGCTGTAGAAAAAAGGAAACATACAGGTGAGTTTTCTTTGCTTTTTTAGTGAAATACATCATACATACACTTCTACTTTCTAAAATTAAAGGAAAGTTCTGGGAAAGTGATTAGAAACTATTTTAACTTTTCGTTTTTGCCGTTGAGCTCTATTTACTCCCATTCTTCGAGGACTCACTCGCGGGAAGTAATGGAAGTGTATTAGCGATTGGAAATTAGCAAATGTAAGTGTCTTAGCAACTCAAGTGAACTCAAATGCCCAAGACATCTGAAGTTTACTTAGTTTTGCATGCTAGCCAAACTAGCCTAGGCCAGCATGGTTGGTCACCACCAAAACCACCATATGTTGTGTTGGGAAGCTGGTATGCTGGTCAACCAGCAAAAACTAGCTAAACCAGAAAAAGACCAACATAAACTAGGCCAGCTTAGACCAACATGAAAAGTAATAGAAGCGCATTAACGATTAGCATAACCTGCCTAGGTCATCACAAACTTGCCACAAACCGTGTTGAGTTGTTAAGTTTGCTTCTTTAGTTTTGCACTGGAGTTGTAATAGTTGTGATAGTAATAAGCAAAATATCTCGCTGTTGTCAGAAGAAAACATTGTATCTCCATTTTTGGCATTTTTCAGCTTTTGACATAATTTGAAAATGCTTGTTGCCCTTTACAATGTTTGTAAATTTCATGAAGAATGGACCAAAAGAAACATTTTTCTCCTGTAAAGTTACCATTTTGGAGATACTAGGTTTTCCTCCGACAGCAGTGATATACAAAATCATAATTTATAGGGTGCTTTCTATGGGGAGACGTATGTCTCGAACCCTAACCTCTGAATTTACACTTGGGAAAATAATACTTACATTTTTTTAAACTTCTTTTCGATGTTTTTAAAAGAGCTTTTTTATTTCTTTTAAAGTGAAGTTGAAAGATTTATCCTAAGCTTAATTTTTAAATAAATTGCCGTCCCACACTTTAATGTCACTATCGAAACATAAGGAGTTTTAGTCCGTAGGCGGAGCCTTATTTTAGGCCTATTTTAGAGCAGGAAGTGAGGCTGCATCCCTGTCCCTTGTGGCCACATGGTGAGCAGTTAGATCCCATTGTTTTGAAGTAAATGTGTCCCAAAGTCTAAAAATCAGTGTGAAACATTAAGAACTGTCACATATTTTCTGCAAGTAAATGAACTTCCTGTGTTTTAAGAAAAATATGATGATTTTATGTGTGTTCAAAGCTGCATTCATGCACTGGCTAGTGTTTTGAGTTCTGCTCAAAATGAGCTAAAGTTGTCACCACCGAAACATTTGGTAAAGTTTTGGTAGTGTTACGATTGTTTTGGTAGTGAAATGTTCAATCAGTTATTGTCATAACAATATTAAGGTATATGGTCACTCAAAACAAAAGGATTTTAGGGTTAAAAACAGTTTAAAATCAAAAACGTGTTTTCAACTCTGACTTTGAATGAGTTTGGTAAAATGATCCATCTATGAAAATGAATACTGTGTAGCATGAAACAGTAGCAGCCGTCTTGAAGACTGAACTCTATTTTGGAAGAGTATTAGCAATCAGCATCATGCAAATCTGCATGCCTACATCATCGCAGACTGTGTGGAGTTGTTAAGCAAACTCAAATAGACTTGCTTATGTGCTTCCTGACACATACCGTTATCTTCAAGATGGCTGCTGCTACCGTTTTTAGCTAGGGTGCTTTCGCTAACATCATGTATGCCGTAGCACCAGCTTGCCTCATGCATATGGAGTTACAGTACACTCAATACGCAACATCCATGCCTCCAGGACGCATGAAGCACTTGGTCTCGTGGCACGGAGGGCTGTGTGGCCTGTGTTTGGTTTCAAAGATCGTGCCGTTGACCAGTTTGAAGCACGTTAGCCTACGCTGCGCATTCATTAAACAGCCTCTGTACACTGCGCTGGCATTATCGAATAGATTTCGCTCACATCTACAGCAGCAAGGAACACTGAGGATCAATGTAGTGTTTGTGTGTGTGTGTGTGTGTGTGTGTGTGTGTGTGTGTGTGTGAGGAGGGGGTTGGGTGGACGCTGGTCATTACAGCACCACCTGTTCAGCTACTTTGACAGACACGTCAGTGTGTGCTGCTGTATCAGCAGGTCAGCGTGAGAGAGAGAGCGAGAGCGAGAGACAGAGAGAGAGAGCTGAGAGGGGGTGGGAGGCTACAGGAAGTTCAAACCTAATTATTTTATGCAGATTGTGTATATATAGTGCTCTCGACTGAGAGGAGCAGATGTTGAAGCTACAGCAGAGCGTCTGCGAGAGCGAAATTCATAACTGCAGTAAAGTAGGAGATCGTGATGGATCTGGACTGGATTCATTTTGGGACTAAAAGCTGGTTTTAAGTGGCTAAACTTTGAGTTTCGAGTTACATCAACTTAACATTTGAGTATTCAAGCAATACATTTGAGTATTCTGCTAGTTAGCAACATTGCTAGCCAGTATTGATCCTATACCCTGACATTCTGGCTGTAATAAATCACATGCAAGCGTATATATCCTGGGCTAATGCTTTGGTGCCACTCTTTCCCCTATTGGTACCCTGCTAAGAAGATCGTGATAACAGCAGGCTAACAGCAGAACCAACACTAGCACAAGCAGCTGCTCAAACAGCTGTCATTTTGACAAGCTGGCTAGCTAGCTAGGCTAACTGGCTCTCTGCAACTAATCAACATTATTTGGGCTGAAATGATATGAGTTGACATGGTTACATGGTATGTTATTGATGTATTAGCAGTTAGAGGTTTCATGAAACATGAATTGAGAAGTTTGCATCTGGGCAATCTCTACTGATAAAGATCATTAGAAACATTAGGATTAAAATCTGATGAGTTTGCTTTCTAATGGTAGTTGGATTATTGGTCACCATTCCTGCAGGACATCTTTAAATCCATCAGGAAACCAACAAATGCATCTGGAATCAGAACAGCTGTTAAACCATTAGACTCATTTACATTGTGATATCAATCCAGATACCTTTATTGGTTTCTATGATTTTTGTACGTATGTATGCTGTGTGAATATTTTACCATGTAAAGCCAGCCTTAGAAATGATTATAATATTCAAATACATGCAAATTTTTTGGGACGAAACAAAATTCTCAGGCTATTTTTAAACTTTTAAAATAATTTGAAATCAAACTGAAATAATGAATTCTACTGGTCTGACTTCACTCACTGAATTATTACCTAAAAAATTATAAGTCCAGTCATTGTGGGGTCAGAGGTTCACAGCCTGTCTCAGAGTCCACACTTGTGGTTTGCTAGCGTTGCGCGCTATGACACATTTCTGAATGTATCAGAATCTTGCAAACGTCATTGCGATGTTAATATTCTTTCACGATATGCATTAAACATGTTAGAGCGTCAGAAATGTGGTGCATTGTGATATATATGTTTCGCCCAATGCTGCTTTGATGTGCTATTCAGGAAACAGTGCATTTAGTGTGCGTTCTGTGCGATCTCATGCATTGTGCTTTTACACGGTAGAGAAATGTGATGCACCTGGAGTCTGTTTAAATCTTACATTAACATGTTTGGTGTCCGGATTGTATCTTACTTTGTAACATACTTTGGCCAGATTCTATTTACATTCTGCACCCAGTGTGACCAGATTAGATCTGACTGTACTTTTCCCACATTAAAAGCACCACATATCATGAGTCATTTCCGTTTTTCTTACATTTACTTATGTCCCCCAGTTATGATACGAATAGACAAGTTTGGCTTGGATGCTTTCATCAGCCCCAGGTGCATGAAAGGCACGTTTGGGGACCACCTTGCACTTCCCTGTTTATCCTCTCACCTGCAGGTCAGCACTCGACAGACACATTTTTGCTAACGTAACTGCAGTGGTGAACTGTGACTATTGGGTCATGATGGTAATGCTCATTTCTGTTTGCATTACTATTGGATTTCTAATAATATGTTGGCTGTAAGCTAAAACTGGTGCACATTAACATTTTTTGGCAGTTCTAGATTAAACACAAGAGCAAAAGACATCTGTATTGTCAGAAATTAGTGACTATTAGAGAGAGTCAATCAGGTCAGGTCATAAATGTTAATGAATACTAAAACTTGAGAAAAAAACTAGGAAAAAAACACAATAATG